AAAAAAAAAAAAAGACTTTGCTTACAAGAAACAATTTTTAGGGCCGGAGAGATGGCTCAGTAGAATAAGCACTTCCCTGGCAAGCGCGAGGGCCTGAGTTCAATCCCAGTTCCACCAAAAAAAGAAAAATAAGAAACAATTTTTAAGTGGGCTTCTCTATACCTCCCTCAGAGTGTGAAAAGGTAAATCCATTCTAACCTTGCTCACAAAATGCACTCCCATGTTCACTAATTGATGGTCTTTTTTCCCCTCTTTGGTACTGGGGATTGAACCTGGGGCAGCATTCTTTTTATTAGCGGTAGGAACAATACCACCATTCGCTTGCCAGCTTCCCGAGGACAAAGACAGTGCCCTACTAGACCCAGTAATTGTCAGAGGCAGAACGGGCCTTAGAGAATCTTTAGCCCAAAATGCCCCCACCTGGTGGCTCACCAGCGCCAGGGAAGGAGTCAGAGTTCCCGGGGGGAGCCTCGCAGCTGGGGCCACTGCACATGGCACCGAGGCTGCTTCGACACCCGCCCCGCCCCGCCCCTCAGCCCCCACTCTGGCACTGGCACAGAGTCTGCACTGCAACAGCGACGGGGAGACAGAAGCCCACGTGCTGCACCCATCGAGGGCCCTGCTAGTGGGAGAACGCGGGGTGAGGAGCTGGCATTCCAACCCCCATCCTGTCTGGGAGCACAGCTCGGATGCCGCCCTGGGGGCCCCATCCTCTGCACACTATGAGCAGTCACGGCTGAAGCATGTCCCCTGGGGAGGAACTCAGCGTGGGACAGGGCACTCGGCCCTTGGCTGGACATCAAATTCTCCAGTGTCTCCTTGCACTTGGCCGACATACGAACCAGCCCTTCACCCAGCTGCCTGTTCCCTAATGGCCTCTCCAGGTACTCCCTGCACACTGGCCCCACCCAGCCACTGTACACCAGCTGGCACAAGACTGTGCAGGTAAGTGGTCGGGGAAGGACAGCCGAATCTGCACGAGGAGAGACACTCAGTGCCTGGGGCCACCACAGCCCTTAGGACTCTGTGTCCTCCCAGCAAACTCAAGCTTTCCGAAATGGAATTTCTGCCACCAGAAACTGTGCAGCTCCACCCAGTGCCACCAGCCAGGCAGGACACTCAAGCCTGGTACAAAAGAGGATGACCACCACCAATTCCTACCTCCTCCATCTCATCTCCATCCCCTGCAGGCCAGTCAGCCACACCTTGCCTCCCTGAAGCCTACTTGTTTGCATCTTCTATGGTCTCTAAATGAGCCTTGCTCCTGCACTTCTAATTTAAATTGTGTGAAGAGTTTTTGTGTTGAGACAGGGCTTTACTATGCAGTTCAAGCTGTTCTTGAACTTACTCTGTAGCCCAGAATGGCCTCGAACTCACAACAACCCGCCTGCCTCAGCCCCTAGTGCTGGGATTACAGGCATGTACCACCACTTCTGGCTGCAGATCGTATCTTGCCCTGTTCACGGGGTGTCTCCCAGAAGCCTGCTGGGGCCCAGCCTTCCACTACTGAAGGCTGGATTCTAATCACCTTAGTATCATCACTGCTGCTGCAGGGTGAGGGACAGAAGTCAGGCCACTGGATTCCAGGTTGTTTAGCCTCAGCCTTAAAGCTGGGGACTTCTGCAGGGTGG